CATAGGCTAGCAGGACGCCTGGCAGAGAAGTACCAGGGCCAAACTAACCCATAGCAGGCAGAGTCTCCTTTCCCCCACATGGAAAGGAGGAAATCTCTTCCCAGAAAATAAGATGTGCAGCAGGAAAGAGGGAGTGGGGTGAGGGGGAAGGAGGCAAAAAGCAAGTTGCCCGAAGACAAGAATGTGTGTCGCTTTCAAGAAAGTTCAGTCAGATGATCCTCAGTCGCCTGGCTCACTTTGTAACACTTTCACTAAAGCTGGAGTGGAAGGGGGAAACTCAGCCCCCCTTTTGTATTCCCCTGATTATACCCCACTATCTCCACACAGCCTTGGAGTCAGGAATAAACATTCAGAGAGGGGATGCCCGGCTGGGGCTGCCACGGGTGCAGCCAAGCCTGTTGGTAACTTGTAAAGTTTGTTGCTTTGCCTCTGGTTCAGGCAGCTGGTCCTGGGATGCTCCAGCTCCCCTCCTGCCTCCCTCGGAGCCTGGAAAGAGGTGTCTGTCTCTCTAGCCTGCTGCCTTCCGGCGTCAGCATCTGAAAACTCACCCACAGGCACATGCACATTGTAACAAAAATCATATCCGGAAACTGCTTGTTTCAGAGAAGGAGATGAAGTTGTCTTTTCAGGGAAAACTAAATTAGGAGGAAAGAAAAAGGAAATGGAGGAAAGAAAAGTTGCATTTGATTTTTCTCCAAAGTTTCTGCTTAAGAGTTGGGAGCTGTTGGGGTGGGGGGGGGGGTGAAGGAGCTTTCTAGGCACCTTTAGTCTCTGCACAATTGGTAAAGGAAAGGGGCTAAGTTGAATGTTTTCAAGGCTATTTAGGGGAGGAGAAACGAACATAAGCAGAGGTGATTCTCCCTGTTTAAAATAAACCTCCCTCCTCATCTATTCCTTAAAGGAAGGGAAGGTGCTCCTGTTTCAGAGGTGTTTAAATAGAAAGAAAAGGAAATGCAGTTCACCCCTTCTGCAGGATGAGATTCCAGCTCTGCTGCCTGAGATAAAGTTGGAGTGGGCAACCAAGGTGTCAGAGCCCACTACACGCTGAGGTGGGAACTTTCCTTCTGATCACAGTCCACCACAGACTTGGTTGTCTTTGCTATAACAGAAATCTTTTGCAAGCAGCTTTCTTCGTGAAGTTGATGGCTCACAGGGAAACTGTTTTCCAGACTCTGAGAGCACTCAGGCAGACTCAGGCAGTTGTGTGGCAGGTACCAGTTCTGAGAGGGCTCCAAGGATATCCATCTCCATCCTGTTTGCTCTGTTTAGATCTTCTGCAAGTTTTGTCATGCTGCACACATACAAGGCTGAGGGCTGTGTATCTAGACATATCTATTTGTTTTATTTTGATTTGGAAAAACTAAGTTAATTAGGGTAGAAACACACATTGCTCCTTAGCAGGTCCAGTCACTAGGCTGCTGGCATCTGTATCATGGTCCACTAAGGGTTAAGGTAGGCTAAAGGTTTTAAACTTTGCATTGCTTTTCTGTTGCCAAATAAAAATAAATGTATACATTTCAGCATTTATTTTCCAATGGATAAAACCAAGACGAAACTTCCCTACTAAACTGCTATCATAGATTTCACATGTGTCTGTCTCTTCTTCCTTTCCTAATTTGCTTAAAGAAAATTCCAAGAGATTATCAAAGACCCTAATACCATATTAAGAATATTTCCTGGGGAAAATGTTTCCTGAAGGTAGGAAAGGAGAGCATTGCTAGCTCTCTAGCAGAGCCGCGCCTTTCCAAGATGTGGGGGATTCTTTTCTCACAACAGTTTTTGTCATCTGCATTCTTCCAACGCTTTTAAGGTACATTTGCTTGTGTGTGAAAGGGGATTCTTTGTCCTTCTCCTCTTCAGTACCGTGGCTTCCCAAGGTAGACACTATTTTGTGCCTGTCACAGAGAGAGGGAGCGCAGGTCTGCAGTGCTCACAGACAATTGATTGTCTGCCCTAATGTGTTTCATTTACATGTTTATAACGTCAATGGTGCTGGGGTGTCCACTGTACCATTCATTCCCGCATTCCCACAAGGGGGCAATTGTCTGAATGGCCAAGTCAGACACCTTTTTGATTGCTCTTTGGTTGTCTTTTTAGAGCAAAGAGATAAAGGAGGAAAATCTGTGATGCAGAAACACTAGTTGAAAATATACAGAATTACATGTCACCACAAAAGCAGATGTTAACATAAGCCCAAATATGCTTTTTAGCCAACATGTGAAGGTTGAAAATAATAATTCAAGCAGAGGGAAGGATGATTTAAAACCAATGCATGTAGCCCCGTTCCCTCCTTCTTTCTTTCTTTTCCTTCTTTAACAATCAAAAGATGAAATGTGATTTTTCTTTTTATTTTTAAGCTTTGAAACATCCGCCACCTTCTTGTTATTTGTATGTTTGCTGTGATTTGTGAATTTTGTATATATTTATGTAGCTCTGTTTATGCCAACAGCATCAGTTTACCACTTGGAAAATCTATTGAATGACTATTTGGGCTTTGGGGGGTGTAAACTTTTAAAAAGTAAGAACCAAGTATTTCTTCATCAAGCATTTTTAAATGGGGAACGATAAAATCAGTAAGCTCTATGGAAGCCCTTGCCTTAACAGCTATGTGCCAAATACTTTTATCTTGGGCGACAGTTGTGTCAGAGTGAAAGCTCTCAAGAAAAGTGTAACTAGTAGTTACAAAGTAAATAAAGGATTTCTTTTTAAGGTGTTCTGTGCTGTTTTTCTGTGGGGAGTGTGTGAGTGTGTGTGTGTGAGTGTGCACACACGCATGAGCATGTGTGTGTGTGTTGTATTTCTTCTCAGGATGTCAAGGGAAAAACCATCCATGTGTGTGTCTCTAGCTTTTCTCTTCTCTCAGTTCTGTCCTACACCTTATGCATATATGCAGCCTCACAGGAATACACCTGTTTAGAAAAAATGATTTCACAGTTCAGATGGTGTCTTGCTGGTTCATTTAGGTAATACAGTTATTAGAAGTTGGTCTGATTTCAGGTGTGGTACACCAGAAAATACTTCTGTGTCATGTGGGAGGAAGTAAATGGTGTGGAGAGGGGACTTATAATTTTGTAGTAAATCAGAGAGAAAAAAATCGTCTGTAAAAAGATTTTTGCCTCTCTGGGAAGACACACACACAGTAGCTGTACCGTTAGCTGAACCCCTGACACGGCGGTCTTTTGAATGCCTTAGGTATGATTTCACTTTCGCTCACATCAATGCTGACCTGAATGCCTTTCATATCTGATCCGCTGTGTCTCTCCCAGTAAACATCCCCTGAGGGGAGAACAAAGAAAGGAGCTCTTCTTCTTCTTAATCACAATTCAGCCCTTTCACCGCCGGCAGGCTCCATTTGCATTCTGCCACAGAAAGCCAAGATGAAAAGAGAGAGAGAGAGAGAGAGAGAGAGAGAGAGAGAGAGAGAGAGAGAGAGAGAGAGAGGCAGAGGGTACTAGCTGAGTAAAATAACTTAGGTGTTTGTGGCTGTTTGTTGGGCTTCCCCTAGTTACCAGCCTTACATAGTTGATGCTCAACCAGGCCCTGTCCCTCCTGACAGGCATATAGTGTTACAAGATGGCATGTCTGTACTATTCATGGCCACCCGCTCAACACTTGAGGTTAAAAAGTGTCAGAGAAGGATCAAATTCTCCCCCAGAGCCTGTTAGGATTGGGGTCAGGTGTGTGGACTTCCCGCCCCTGAGAGCTCCCTACGATTTCGCTTTAATAACTATGATTGTTTACTGTGGTGGGGGTGGGGGACTGGGCAAGCTGGAGACTGGGCCCCTGGTCTGGCCTCAGTGACAGCACTCACACCCAGCCTAAACACACTGATAAATCTTCAGAAAAACTGGAAAAGACTTTCCCATTTTCCCCCCTGACTTTTTATGATAATTCATATTTTCAAATGAAAGGGGAAAAAAGCCAAGAAAGAAACTCTCAAATGAGCCAAAAAGGAAAAAAAAAAATTCTCTGAAAAGAATTTTAGGGGGAAAAGTTGTTCTATTTTAAAAAGCTTTGAGGGCTGTAAAGTGCCACGTTTTTCACACCTTCTCCATACTTTTTTTTTCAGATTTTTTTAGTATGTTTAACATTTGTGAGATGACAGCCTTTTTGTATCTCAAACTGGATGCTTTAAGACTTGTAGGGAGGGGTTGGTGGTATTCACGTTCTCTTGAGAGAGAAAGTTTGTGCCTCAAGGGCTCCTGCTTACTGGGGATTGTTTAAACCCTCTCAGGCAGACCTGTCAGGTTTTACAGTGCTATTTGCCTCCATTTTCAACATGCAAAAGTAACATGCAGTTAATGGTACTGGAACAAGACCTCGGCAAATGCAGAAACCTCTCGTGACAACTTTTCAGCTGTGTTATCTTGCTCCTAAACTGTCTTGTCTTTCCTCCCCTTTCTGAAACCACTTTGGAGATACCAACAGTTTTTCTCCAACAATTAGATTACACATACAACACACCACACACACCCTCGCACACAACTTTGGAAGTATATTTCTCCAAATAGCACAGTGAATTGTTTGAAATGGGGGGCTTTTCCAAAACCCATTGTGGCACATTTCACTTATAAGACCAACACTAAGATATATTAGAAGTTGTACATAAACATGTGACACAGATTCCTGATTTTTTTTCCCCAGAAGATTTACAGAATTTACAAAAAGAGATTATCCTTACACCTTCACCCCTCCTATCCACCCCCATGACCCAAGCAATGAAGGATTTAGACAGATTTACTTCAGTAAACACCTTTGGACACTTGGGGGGAAAGTGGAAGTCTGTTTGCAAAAGGAGGCTTTTGTTAAGTGAGGTAGGGGGATAATGCTTTACCAGGCAGCTGTGATATTAACCTACCCAGCTATGCGGGAACACTCTTTAACTCTTTAAGTGCCTGCCCTTTTGCGCTCAGCAGATGAAATCCTGGCTCTCCAAAGACATTCAGAATTCTGGCTCTAGCAGTTTATTATTCAGACAAGTCTTGTAGACATGAAAACTGTTCAAGCTTTTAAAACAATGTGGTTTAATTAGATGAGGTGGACTTACATTGCTCATAAGCCCTCCAAATGGTGGTTTATAATTGGCAAGGAAAAAAATAGAAAAAAAAAAAAAAAGGAATCAAGGCAGTACATTAAAAATTCCAGGAAATATCTTTAGAAAAGCTATTTTCATTTCTGGCTTTTAAAATATTAGACTACGGTCACTAGAGGGAATGAAGCAGCTGAGGCCTTGCCCCTTACTATAAAAGACAGCAGAAGTTTGCGATTGAAGAAAGGGGCTTCAAGTTGAAAACCTACGAGAGGCAAATTCGGACAGTAACATTATCTCTCCCTCCACATCTTTTTGAGGGGGAAGTCTTGTCTATCTGTCAGAGCTCTGGAGGTCATGTGAGCCTCAGAGTCAGGGCCCCAAGCCAGCTATTACCAACTTGAGACTTTCCAAAGCAAGCACGGCAGCTTTCATGAGGAAGGAGTTAATGGTTATTTTTTGCTGGGCATAAGAATAACTTTACAGGTGTTGCATTTGGTCTTAAATAAGATTGCCTTATTTAGTTTCGAAAAAGCATGTAGGTGTCAACGTTCGAACAGCCATAAATGTGTGAGAAAGTAAAGAGTAAGAGACGTGACAGAATTAAAGGTGTTTGCTATGTTGTTACACCGTGTGTCAGGCTGCAAGCTCCCTTTGTCACAGCCTCCTGGTGATTTGACAGCGCAGATCTACTTCCCTTCTAGGTGAGACAGCATTTTTAACTGGAGTTATAAATATGGTACACCCCGGGGTTGCACCCTGCCTCCCGGATCCGCGCATCCTATTTGAAAGCATCTTGCCCAGAGACACAATGAACAAACGCCGTATACAAGGAGGCTATGGGCGCAGGGACCCAGGCAGCGCTAGCATCATAGTAGCTGGCATTGACTGTTGTTTGGCAAGAAGGTCCTCTGCCAAATCATCCAATAATTAAGTTTTATGTTATTTGTATGAACAACCAAGCATGCAGTATTCCTTTTCAAATCAAAGGGAGGCTTAAAATTACTTTTTGAACACTTTCAGACCCCGGTCAGGTCACAGTTTGGGGGCTGAATTAAAATGATCTCATTCATGATCTAATTGAGGTTGGCAAAATCTTAGCAGTAGCAGGAGTACATAAATATAAATCAAAGACCAAAATTTAGCAAATCATATCATTTGCTAGAAATCTGCTCATGAATTATTCTCCGATTGCCAACCCAGAAGTTAAACTTTGTCTCCCCTCAGCAACAGTAACCGTGCATATTTTCTCGTGCTTCTGACAGGAAAGTTAGAGGAGCTGAAGAGAGAAAAGAGAGGAAGATGATCAATGTCTCATCAGATATTGTTTGTGACCTAAGAAAGTCTGAGAGCTGATAAAGCCTTGCACACTGACAGTGGGTGCTGCAGTCTTGGCTAGAAATTAATATGGGCTTTTAAAACCAGACTCAGAAGAGCAAGCAGCTCGAATATATGAGGGCTGGAAGGAGAGCGAACATTTCAAGAAAGATCTGATTGAACTTTGCTTTCATTTTTCAATTGAGGAATCATGACAATTAATGATTCTTTACAAATTTAGTTTTATTACTGAGCTGAGCTGAAAACTGAGATTTGAAGTCATTGTTAGACTTGTAAGTCAGTACAGAACTGCTGTTGTACATGTTCAAGTTACTTTTACTTTCTGCCTTTTTAAAAGCTTTGCTATGTAGTAAGGAATCCAAATAGCTTTTCCTACCACCTATAGGGTTAAGTGTCATATTAACCCATTTAAATGTCATATGTAACCCATTTCTAAGTTGTTCCTTGTCTTCTTAGTTTCTGCGTATTTAATGTTAAACCTACCTATATGCTATTAAAAATTGGAAGAGGTCTAATTCCTGAGTAGAGAATTTTGACATTTAATTTTTAAATGCCACTCAAATGAAGATGCTTTCTCAAACACTGAATTGGTCAGTTTAGCCAACTGTATCACAAGAGCAAAAATATAAAGGGTTATTTTGAAATCCCTGTGATACAGTAAGAAACATTTTTAAATAGTTTCAGGTGATAGAGATAAATGACCATGTTCTTTGGGGAATAGTTAATTGTCATTAATGATTTCCCATGACAAAAAAAGAAAACATGTTCTACATGAAAAACTGTAGTGAATTCTTCTGTACATTGAGTTACATTGCTTATATGAAAGCATAGTGAATTTGTTCTTTATATTCTTTGTATTTCTTTTTATAATTAACTCTAGGAAAGAAAAAATGCTCCTGACAAGGTAATAGCTACTCCCTCCCTGAGCAATCAATAATAGATCAACAAATTAGAACATCATGCTATGTAAGATCTGAGTTTTTTTTCCTCTCCAACTATGAGTACGTTTCAAGGAATTCAGTAACCCAGTGATCTATAAATATAGCATATAGCTTTCACTGTTTCTTAGTTTAAATTGTACTTATGCTGCTGTGTATAGCCAAGTAACTGTAATCAAGGAAACTTTGCAATTTGCTTATTCTTGGAAGTACCTAAGTTTCTATTTTAGACACCAAGCACATCGATGGAAGTGTTTCACATCATGAGATTTCTCAGTTTTAAGAGGTGAAGTTTACATATAAAGAACTTGGTAAGCTGTGTTTTCATAATAAATAGACCCATTAAGAGGGAAATATCGCTAAACAAAATGGTTGTCCTTTAAAGATTTTCCATCACCTTTGCTCTGTTGATGGGAATTTGAAAACCAAATACAGCCCATATGCACACAGTCTCCAATGCAGACAAACACAAATGCACCATGGGAACCGTACTCTGGTACTTTTCCTAACTTTCATTGCAATTGTCTAGGTTATGAATGAAATATATTCAAACAAAACCAGTAGAGGTGAAGAATTAATGTAGATTCTTATTTAGCAGGATTTCTTATAGGGGATAAAAGTGTTCTCTATGCCACATGACTCACTGTAACTTACACCTATTAATGTGAGCCTTAAGTGTAGTGTTTAGGATAAATTACTAGCTGTGTGCTTTTTAAACTGTTTTCTTCCATTTTCCTTCAATATTACCAACTTTAACAGAGATTATTCTAAATTGGCTGCAAATTATTATGGTTTTTAAAACAGTGTTCTGGAGCTCTGAGTAAAGATGGTATTTTAAAGTAGTGTTTATAATATTCACAAGCAAAAATGGGGGGGAGCTGGATCTAAAACTATACTGAACACTTAGAAATGTGTGGAGTTTTATACTTGTGCAGATAAAAGTGCTAGGTAGTCTTACCCTGTGAAACCAAGACCACAAATGATACGTGTCAGTAGCTTCTTTGATAGGGCTTCTGGCCACAGTGTTTTTGTGCTGTCAAACTGCTATGTTGAACAAACACCTCCTCTGGGACAGAGCGATAAATGCAGAGACAGGCTGGCTTCAACCAGTCTCAGCAACCTCCTCAACCACACCCCCAGCCCTCAGGCCCACCTCCCACCAAGCCACCACTTCCCTGGAAGGCCACCCCTTTACCTGAAATTTATAGACAGGTGCTCATGGTGTTCCAAGGTGTCAGTGGTCAATACACTGGAACTGTAAGCAAAGTACAGTTTTATCTGGCAGTTTTATCTAGTTTTTTAAAACAGAATTGTCTTTTGCCAACCTGAACTTTTTCCACCTTTACTTAAGCATTTAAAAACCACTTCCATGTCATATCTTTCCTCTCGTCGCTGGAGTTTTATTTTTTAATGTTCAACCAATTATATTGTGCAACACAAAGCAAAATTTTGCCTTAAAGAATCCAAACACATTTCCTTCTGCCTTCCTCTTTCCAGCATTCTTTTAGGGCTAGCATTTCAGATGTATAGTCTGATATTTTTATTTTTATTTTTATTTTCTCTTCGGTGCCATTATTCTCTGACTAAAACCTGTTTACTGGTACCTCTGTGTGTTTGTGTGTATATCTGTGTGTGTATATATGTGTGTGTGTGTGTGTGTGTGTGTGTCCCTGACATTAAATGAATTTCCATCTTCTACTTCTGCAATCTCTAAGAAATAGATAAACCATTATATTTTTTCCCTGCTCGTATTTTAAAGTGGTGATCCTGACAGCAGGACGATTATTGCACTTTATGTTTTAGTGGATGTTTGCTGTTGCTAGTTACAGCAACACTTATCATAAGACAGCAAGAAAAGAGTAGTCCCTGGTAATTAAAGTAATGAAATATTCATTTACTCTACCTTTTCTGTAGTCTCACAAATTAGGCTGCTACATTTAATGCCTGCACTGCCTCTGTTTTTATTATAATGGCAGCTTTCGCATCTGCAATTAGGACTAATTCTGACAGTTACAATTTCTGAGGGATGGTAAACAGTGAACGAGATGTGCAGCAGAGGTATTACACGTGAAAAGCCCTTGTCTCTTTAACCTTGTTGTTTTTTTTTTCTCGCAGAGGTTACCTTTTCCCGATGGTGCAAAATCGACTTGACATAACTGTTCATCAGTTTCAGGGTTTTCCCTGGAGGTATTTGCATCAAATCAGCCCAGTCAAGCTTCAAGTTGAAATTGGCAGGCCAGAAACTCACAGAGTAGAGACTGGAAAAGAGACAGCCAAAGTACAGGCAGCGAACTGACAGCAGCAGAGTGAAAGACAGACAGGGGGGGAGAGAGGCTGAAAGCGAGAGCTTTTCAACTTCAATGTACAGGAAATTTCAGCTTCTCCTGGGTAGAGCTCAGTAGCACCGAATCCTGAAGGAGCTGCAAAGGTTGAGGCTCAGAACACCTTCAGCTGGTTCTTACCACTGGGGCTCCTCAGCCCTGCTCTGGGATTCACTCTCACGGACTCTGATTGGATGCCTACGGGGGAGTGGGCACACTTAATTAAACAGAGGGAAAGTTCTGAGGCACCTCCCCAGTACTTATTAAAGCTCAAAAGCCAAATCTCATGATCAGTGTTATAGAAGGAAAATAAGGCAGTTTGATTTTTTCTCTTTTTCATTCCTAATTGTTAACTTGTAAGAAAGTGAACAAATCCTTCTCTTTACTAGGTCTGTTTTCTCTGGGCTTCTCTTCTGAAGCAGATTAAATGTTCACAGTGACCAGAGCTCAGGAGGCTGTAAATTCAAAAGCTAATGCATTTGAGTCAACAAAAAATCCACATAGCAAAACCCACATCTGATGAGATACTCCAATGACTAACATGGGGTCACCTTCCTATCCTGATAATACGAATGTGCATTCAGTCGCTTTTAGGCCAAAAAATATGACAAAATCTTAAGATAGTCATGACATTTAACTTTTATTTTACTATTGGGAATGCCACTTTAAGAAAAATTATATGATTGCAAAACTTTCATAATCGCTTTCACAACAAAAACAAATATGAAAAGTGCTTCCTTTGTCTCAATATTTTTCCCGTTTTTGAAACACGCGTGCACACATACACATGCACACTTTTTTTGTCATTCTTTTCTATCTCTTCTAACTTGGTGTCTTTACTAGATGATTTAAAATCCTTCTCACTTTCTAACTAGACTTGGAGGTTGAATAAGCCCTTGCTTTCAAACTGTCTTGGAGCTCTGTGTATGACAGGCATTGGCTGATCTGCTGATGCCCATTCGACAGGCACTGTTGAACTAAAGTGGTGTGACGGCACAGTTTTGTTAAGCTGTGAACAAAGGGCTGAAGATGCCTTGCTGGCATCATCCATGTGCATATTGGCCTTGTCACAGTTTTGCTTGATTTAATGCTCTGTTTATTCCTAGATATTAAAACTTAAATTCTGAACAATGTGCTTTCAAATACTACATACCAACTTTATTTTAGAAGCTTAAACTTTGAAGACCCTAGGGTCCATTTACTCCTCCAGTTCCTCTGCAACCAATATTAAAACACAACTTTGGAAATAAATAGATTGCCACTAGCCTTTTAGCTGTTATCCATTTAAAAATGGGATTCCAGTCTTAAAAAGTCTTAATAGGGTAAAAGATTTATTTTTCTTTGATCATTGGTTGAAAGTTATTATTTATTTGCAACAGAGGATTCTCCCATAAATTCCTCAGGAAAAGTTACCTTGTGTGTACACAGTGCAGTCAAGATGGACTTTTAAAAAGTCCTATTATTTAAAAGATGATAATAAAAGAAGCTATCTCCAGATACATGTAAGGGTAGGCACATCTGCAACAGCAAGAGAAAAAATAATTGAGAGAGTTTATGTTAAAGTGAACCCTATTTAAGAGTGAGTAGAAGAATTAGTATTGAAATTTAAAAATAAAATTGTGGTTACAAAAATCCCTGCTCCACAGGCAGAAGCCAGCCCTTTGAAGGAAAGCTTCGGTTTTGTACTGAAAAACAGAGCAAAAATGTTTTGTTTTTGTCTGTGTGTGATGTTGTTGTTGTTGTGCTAAATTTAGATTCCAGTGTCCTGTTGTATGTGTCTTGAGATTTATCTGTGCAGGGTTTCTGGTCCCCCCTCTGTCTCTTTTTTCTTTTCTTCAGGTTTGCTTCAAGTGTTTGCTAAGAGATTAGGTAGGGAGTTGATACTGAGGAGGTAGCCATGGGAAGCGGCTCGCTGCTCAAAGGAACTCACAGTGGATCAGAGTGTGTAGATCCACGAGAGCTAAGGCTGTCTCGGGTCTGGGATCAGGTACTTTATTTTCTCTGGATGATAAATGGCTCAGAGAAAGGTTGGTGGGATGGCATCCCCCAGCAGCAACAAAGCTATTAGCACTTTTAGAAACTTCCAAACAAGCATTACTGCTGTAACAACTTTATGGGGAAAAAAAAAAGAAGAAGAAGTTTCAATCTCCAGACAGAACACTCCCTTTTCATTAGGGAAAGAGGCTATAATTTGCGATATTCAGGATTATTTTTACCTCCATTCATAAAACAGCATCTTTCTTGAGAGCTGTTGTAATGAAGGTGAGGAAAGTGGCAGAAAAGAGAAAAATATTCAGCCATCTGAAAACATTGCTGCTAACAAGCAAGGAGACTGCGCTGAAAACCAGAAATGAAGTCTCCAGGGTGAAGCACATGCCATCTCCACCTGCCTGCCCGACGCACGCTTGCTTAGCAATGACGGTTTAAGTGAAATGAGCCCCCCCCACACCTTTCCAGCAGTAGTTTTCTTCAGTGCTTATTTATATGAAATAATACTTACAACCAGAAAGGGCAGCACAGGTCAGGGTGCCTAGGCAAGAGTAAGCTTTCACCGCTTTTTTTTTTTTTTTTAAATTAGCCCCCTACAAGATAAAGACTTGCACCTGCCAGCAGCATAGACTGTGTCACTCTCTGGCACATACATTTACTTTCACCAGAGATGCCTGTATTAAACCCATGGGTGTGAACAAGACTTAGACATGTAATCTCAGACTGGCCAAAGAATCGACCTTTTAATATATAAATAGGGGACATTCTTACTTAATATACCAAGTGAATGTTGGCATGGGTTCGGTGCGTCCTATTAATAATACTTCGTTAGCAACTATTTATAAAGGAGGTGGACAAACAGAAGTGATCCAAATAATCCTCCTGCCCCAACCCTACCTCAATATTATCTTTTTTCCCCCTGCCAACTCATATTTTTATCACTCTATCTTTAAATTTCCCTAAATGTAACCATGATCCCCATTATGCTTTATAACAAATACGTGACTAGGACCAAAATGACTTCTCACCTTTTAATCAACTACCCTAGTTTAGGGTTTTCTAAGGAATGGTTTGTAAAAGGAAGCAAAGCAGAAGATGAAGAGATCTCATAAATAGTTTTCTTTGAACATCCACAATTGCTTATATGGCCTTTACCCCTTTTTTTCCAGGCTGGTAGAAATGGCCTAGCCCAGGAATCAGTCAAGTGAGCACATTTCAGGACTATTCTTTGGATGATTGTAGGGAACCACCAGCCCTGTGATACCAATAAAGTGCATTAATTGAGAATGTCCCTGAGACTGACAGTGGGTATGATGTTAGTCTAGGGCATTCTGGGACGGATTGCCACTCATGTGCGAATAGTAAGTGTATATCATCTAGCTCTCAGTTAGCATAAGGTTTCATAAACCAGTGTCAATGGCAGTCTTTATCCCTCCAACTCATTCCTAGCTGAGGAACAAGTTCTGCTTCACATAAATAAGATCTTTGAATTTATCTGCAATGAGGTACGGCTTTAATGATCTGTATCTGCAAGCCAGCAGCACGAATGTGATCTTATTGTATCTCTTAGTGTAGAGATGAGATAGGCTAGCGCTACAGCACACCAGTGCATTGTGCCTGAGTGTCGGGAACAATCCTTCCATTTCCAAAGCAGTAACTCTTTATTTTTCATCACTGTTTTCTTACCTTACTTGTATGCTTCTTGTGATATAGATCTGAGTGAGTTGTGCAAGCTTCAGACTTGCCAGCCCCCAGCTTCCAGGCCTAGTACAGAGTAATTCATAAACTTACCATATTAGACTATCAGATTGAAACCAAGGGTTTCTACTAGTGGTGGAATTGGAAAGCCCATTGTTTTGATTATCATTTCATCAGCCCCAACTGATACTAGTATGCTCAAGGAAAACATACTTCAGTTACAGTTGATTTTCAGATTCCAAAATGGTGCTGCAAAGCCTGTGCATCTCTAATTATATTTTATGCTAGGCTGTGCAATACCAAAATATACGCTGCAGCAATCAGTGAGTGAACAGTATCAATCAATTTGTAAACAGATGAAGTCACTCATTCCCAAACTGGTTTTCCAAAAACAATTACTAAATTACAATAGAAAAAAATTGTACAGTTACTGTATTTGTGTGCTGTGTTACAATCAACATACCAGGGAAACAAAACAATTTAATGCAGAAAAATCATCATTCATCTACATTATAATTGCTTCTTTTTCACATCTACAGGGCGGTTAATTAAAATTGTGATTAAATGCGGTCGCGCTGCCTAAGATGTCTTGCCCAAAACAGGTGGTACAGAATTTAAAAGTAAAAAAAATGTAATTAGCATTGGAAATTGAGAAATTGCCTGTAAGAATCAGTGTTAATTTCAGTCAGTGATGAGGTAATTTATAAATGAATGCAGTGGAGGCTGTGCAAATGCACAATTGCCTTCCTTGCCATTCTTAGCATTCTCAGCATGCAGGTGAAAATGTTTTCAAAATATTGAGGTAATTTGAAAATCAATCCATGCATTCTGTATCTTTTTTCTCCTATTTGTACCAAATGCTGAACAAATGCTGCCATAGATGGCACAATCTATTGGTTTTTTTACTCTCTATGCTGCATATATTTTAGACCTAGATTAAGAAACCTAACAGCACAAATTGCAAGCCTAAGATTGTTACATGGGTCAAAATCATATACCTGAAGTTCAGACTAATGTGGATTTGGTTTGCTGCAAAATACTCTCATCAATAAAATAACAACCTGGAGGGAAATCTTTTCACAGCACGGAAAGTACAAGCAGAAAGACTATTAACCAATCCAATAAATACTTGAAGTTTAATTTTTAAAGTTTAGGGAAGAAACAGAATTATTATAAGGCTTATAAATTACTTAGGGTTTTTGTTTGTTTGTTTGTTTGTGTTGGTTTGCTTTCCTTTGCTTTTTTTGTACTACAGATTGAAGTCAGGACCTTCTCATTGAACTACATCCTCAGACCCTTTTATTTTTTATTTTGAGGCCATCTCACTAAATTACCCAACCTGGGTTTGATTTGCAGTCCTCCTGCCTCAGCTTCCAGAGTAGCTGAGATTATAGGTATGCAGCGTCATACTGGTTTTTTCTTAGAATTTTTATCTTTACTACTCCATCTACAAACTTCTAAAATTGGTTAATAGTTATTATT